AGCTACAGTAGGTGCCCCAGTTGTTCCATGTTAACGGATAAAGAATAAAAGGAATGTGACAATCAAAACGAGGCCATTTTTTGCATGGACTCCATGTTTGATAGAATACCACTCACATTGCTCCTCACCATTTGTGATCAGCTGACACCCTTACTCTTTGATGATGCAGATGGTTATGGAGAGGAAAATGCTGTTCTAGACTCATCAACGCTGGTATTGTTGCATTTGTTACAAAAAAAGATCATGATTCCTCTGTATATGCCAGATATCAATCCCTGCTCGTAGAATATTTGGACACTAAGCTACAGGCCTAAGTGTTTACATGTCCTTGAGACTGACAAAACTGATTCATCATGACCAAAAAAGATTCATTAGAACTTGGCTGGCGACAGGCAATGTTCACCATCTCCTTCACATCATTCATCTCACCACCGATGCCAAATCCTCAACCACAATTTCTCTAGATGAAGAAAAAGCCTTTAAGGAAATAGGCTCACCAGTTGGTGTTAGAACATATGGATTCATTTTTTCTTATCCGAACCCTCATTGAAAGTACCCTCATGCAAGTGTACTATGCAGTCCTCTAACGTGAGGGATACCCATCAGGGGTGCCCTCTCTACCCATGACTGTTTACCATTAAAACCTAATCTCACATAAGAACTCTGCCAATCTGACAATTTTCTCCCTATCAGCATTAAAAATATGCAACAACGCATTTCACTTTATGCTGACAACATTCTATTATTTTTGAGAATATTGCTCAATCACGCCTTTTCTTGCTTGCTCCAAAGCAAGATTCTGCTTTTTCAGAAAAAAGGTATTATTTTAGCCACTTTTAAATTAAATATATCCAAGCCTAAATTTAAAGACCATTACTATGTAAGTAAAGAGAGAACCGAGGACAGTAAAATATTTAAGAAGGCAATTAGGTGAAGGGTCCAAACGATGCACTGGGATGGAATTGTAAAATTATTTCTTTAATAATGTCCATAAAAAGATTTAAGAACACAGATAAAGACGTAACAGTACTTACAGACTTAACAGGATAACTACTAATAGGAGACAAGCCTGAAGAAAGCAGAACAATACGTACTGTGGATAAGCATCCTGAGTTTTATCATTAAAAATGTTTGATGCTGAAATATGGAGTCTGTGCCTTGATGAATCACTGACTTGGAACGTGAGAGCTTGTCAAGTGTGTTGAAACGGGTTGCAGGCCTATTTTTTTCTTTGGCAATCAGAGTAGGAAAGTAAGCAGCATTAGCCTTTTTTTTTTTCGGTTCCCTATATTGCTTCAAATTGAAATTCCAAATTTCCTCATCAACACACAATGTTCCTCAATTTCTCCTCCAACATTTGTCCTTTCAAGCCTAGGAGTTTTTTTTTTTCAAATCTTTTGTACACCATGGAAAGTGATTACTAGTAAAGAGGGGGCAGGTACAAATAAAGACTTCTGCATTTTTAGTTTATATAAATTGACAACACCATCAACAAAAATGGTACAATCTTCAGCCGCAAATGAAACATTAGCCATACTTATGTGTTAAGAGGACTCCATGGGGCTAATTTCAAGAGTAATCATGGAATGATCAGTGTAACCTACACTAGGTAAAGTAATATTAGCAACTAAAGGAATTGCTAAATTGAGTATACAGTATGAGATCTGTGCTATATTAAATTAGGGAATTCAACAAAGCAGTAAAATGTTAACAAAGGTGTCAACAAAGATATCCACATGAACAGTAAGATCCCCCAGTTCCAACAGCCTTGGGGGTATAGATACAAGAGTGTATACAATCTCAATTCTTCCAGGAAAGAAGAATCCAGTCAGGATGGTCTATAAATTAGGATTTCTGTCAATGCACCATTAGTTTCAACAGTAAACACAAGACACGCAAAAAGGAAAATGATCAGCACAGATTTTCTGCTCATGGAAAGCAAGCCTTCATAACTGAAAAGATGGGGGAAGCTGCCTTCTAAGGCCTCCTCCATGAGGCCTCTGTCAAAAGGGAAATTCAGGAGGGAAGGCTTCAATTAACAGAAACTGAGCCATCCTGATGTTATCACGTTTCTGTTGAGCACATAGTACCTAACCTACCATACTTCATTCAATTATAATTGTCTATTAGACATAGTTCTAATACCTAAAAAGATGTATTGATATTTGTTGTTTGTGCTCGAGGTAAAGAACAAACATTTAAAAAGTTTAACACCAAGTTGTCTTTTATAAACTGTTCTATGGCACTAGTTCATTTTAAAAGATCAAGAGTGACACAAGGAGACTGGCAACACTCATGATATGATTGTCAACAGATCCACTGCACCTTACATTCTGAAAGAGTATAAAAAAAATAAGAAACAGGATGCCTCTTGAAGACTGCAGGGCTGAAACAGCGGCACTGGAAAAGCTCAAAACATGAGAGACATCACGCTTTTCACAAACAAAACTCTTACAAGCCCCCTGCCGTTCACGAAACCATAAAAGTCCAAGGCCAAAGAATTAGATGAAATTTCAAGAATATTAGCAAGTAACAATTAGGCCCATGCATATTCAGTGCAATTCACAGCTGCAGCAGTCTCAAACAGGAGAGCTATTCGCCAGGGGAACTGCCACTTCAACAGTGACATGGCAGCGCAGTGCATCCTCCGCATTCAAAGACAAGCAAAAGTAAGACAGCAAAACTGCAGCAGAATAAGAACAGACAAGGCAAAGGTATTTTAACCACACAGCCAGGAAAAACAAGAAAACTTCAAACTGATTATCCGGTGAGACACCGACAACCTCGAAGACGAAGACTTTTGTCAGTACGTCACCAAAATGTACAGAGACAACCTTGATAACCTTGATTTCTTGAGCCTATTTCCCCAAATCTATGATAGACAGAACCGACATCCACTGGATTATGTATGCCTGTCTCCGTGGTTAAAGTGTAAAAAGCTTGGTGCGCTGAACGAGTTAAAGAAGTTATGTCACCTCCCTCTGAAACCTAGACAGTGGAAAACGTTGCAGTGGCAGAGAACCAGGCCTTTGGTGCAGTGGATTCTGATATATCTAAAGAGAGGAATGGTGTGGCTCTGGGCCCACTAGTAAGTGTGATTGAATCCTGGCAGGGGCAGGGAAGAGCACCATGTTTCACTGGTCTTCTGTAGACTTCTGTAGACTCCTCTTGTAGCAGAGGTCTTTTGTAGCAGTGGCCGAGTTATCAGCTGAATGGGCAATGGAGCTGTACAAACATGGGAGCCCACAAGCCACCAACATGGAGCCCCGGCAGAAAGCTGAGCAGAGCTGCACCGGTCACAGCTGTGAACTTTTACTTTCCATGGAAGCAGCAACAGAATACAACACAATTAAATAAAATATATTGTACTGCTCCGGGGATCACGTGGGCACCCTCCCCACTGCCGCCTCAGGTCGGCCCCCCACCGTCGGGGACTCGAACCCGGGCCTCCGGCGTCACTCAACAGGGACCCAGCCTCTTGAGCCAAAGGGAAATCTCCCATCAGCCCGGCGGCTGCGGTCCCTGCTATTCACAGGGAAGGGCAGTGACGTCACCGCGCTGGTAAGCCAGCTCTCACGAGCAATGGAGCCGTATGCGTTACACTATTAAAGGGATGAGACACTTTGATTTTGAGAACTACTGTGTGACTCACTGTTAATGTCACTTGAGCAAGGCGAGGTAGAGCTTTCTGATCAGGGGTTTGAGCCTGGGTAATGCCACTCTCCAACTGTGATTCCCAAATCAGTGGTACACAATTGGCTGAGAACAGCCATCAATCGACAGGGTTAGATTAGTTGGCTAGGGAGCTCTTGGCTCTCAGAAACACAGCAGAGTTATCAGGAAAGTCATAAAATCTTTTTTGTACCAAGGGCACTGAAGTGACATGACATAGGAAAACCCATTATGCAGATTAATATTTGGCATTGAAAGTCTGCATGTAGCCACTAGATGCCATACAAATTGCACCTCTGAGATGCATGCATTGGGCCATTTCGTATACACTGAAATTTTGCTCCATTCCTATGATAGAATCATGATAAACACATGCATGTTCACTGGTTTGCGAGTCCTAGCTCCAACGTGTCACTGAAGCTCATTCCCACAAATTCAACTTAAGTTCAATAGAGCTTATTTCAAAGAACGTAACATGGCTCTTGGCTATCACCTGAGTCGATTAAGAAATGGTCATTAGAAATTGGGGTGATATAAAAATAAGAGATGATTCTGGAAAAAGACTGACATTTAAAATTTCAGGTGTTACTAAAATTCATGAAGGCATTCCTGACATCTTTCATACCAAATACCAAAAAACAAAAACCTTGGCCCAGCCCATTAAAAGCCTCATATCCCAGACAATATAAACTAATCCAAATCCTCTAGTTAACAGGAACTTTACTAACAGGGAGGCACTCCTTAGCCAATAAGAAAACCTGGAAGACTTCATTTTGAGCAATGTCTCACCAAAGTGTGGACTATTTCTCTATATATGGATATCCACTTGTATCCTATTTCACTTAGCAAAGGCAGTCATCAGAATACCGTATATAACTCAGATAACCCCTGAGCCTTCAATATGGTTCAAAAGGAGCCTTTTAATTGTAGCTATTGCTTTCATATTTTCTTGTTTTACAGCAATTTCCCTCTATCTATGAAAGTTGAGTAGATCTCTGCTCAGATTCCTCTATATTCTACAAACAATATACAGTACATAATTTCAACGTCAGCTGCAGCTATTTTACATTTTACACAGCCAAGTCAATTTGGTACTTCTTGACTTTCCCATCTCGCCATCGTCATTCTTCAGTTCCATTTCATACTAACGACTCAAAATATTTAAGTTTCAGTGAACCTCTCAAACTTAAAAATTCAAAGCTAAGGCTCCTTCGCACCCCACACCCCCGACGCTGTCAAGACTTTGGAGAGAAGAAACCCCTTCGGAACAGCTTTTTCGTCAGACACCAAAAGCCTCCTGTGTGCTCTCGAAACCGCGGCGGACTCACCTGTCCGTCGAAGCGTCTCCTGGACCAGGGTACTTCAGCCCTGAACCGTTTTTGATCGACTCCTGCCGGACGAGCCCTTGAGGTCTGTTTTTGTCTGACGCTGGTGTGGAAATGTCCCCTGAGGGTCCCTGGTAGTGGGACGGATCCTGTAGTTTTGCCTTCTTCTCCTGAGGTGCCTCTTCATTCCTGTGGCCCCTGGGGGCCTCACTCTGATCCAGCTGCTGGGGTGTATTCGAACTGCTGTTGTAGAACCAGGCTCCTGACTTTGTGAGGATTTCTTGTTGTTTTCGGCACAGATTGCATACCCACATTACCTAAGCATGAAGAGGGGAACAAAAACATTTGTTTTTAAGGAAATGCAATTGAAATTATTTAATGATAGTAGAGCAACCTGTATTTTTGTTCGCATTATATAGTACTTGACATTCTAGATGGTATAAAAAATCACATTTATCAGAACATTGTTTTTCTTGTATAAAATTGTGACTCAGTATTATGTTGCTCTCTACACCATTCCTAGCAGCTCACGTAAGTATATACTGTACAGTAGCACTAATCTGTGTAAGCTGTAATGGATGATTGTTTTTGCTTTTCAAAATATGAAATCTGAATCTTAGCTTAATTATATTGTTTTTCTACAAAATATGCGGTCACAAATGTTTTAAGCAAAAAGCATTTATTGCAATGCATATTGCACCTAAACAAATGTGTGTCTTTCTCCTTCTAAAAATTTAACACTTCCATTTAAAATAACAGTTTGACCTGTTCATGTTATAATAACCCTGCAAAGGAGCTAAATTAAAAGGAGTAATGAAATTTAAAATGTGTTTTAACACCCCTTTTAACATTGTTTTATTGATTCTATCTCTAACTGCAGTAAAACAACCACTTTCAGACCAGCAGTAAACAACCACCCCTGACTTAATGAAGTTAATTTCCTTGAAAATGTATTTAAAAATGATTACATGGCATCTGCAACACAGACATGAACTTTACAGGTTCTGGTAGAGATTTCTGCTGCTTGAAGACTCAAGCAATTACAATTATTTTGCATGCATATGGGCATCTAAACTATTCTACACAAGAAACCAATTTAATATTTTATGTGTGTTGAAACGAAAGACGTCCAATGGATACTGAGGTTTACAAGAGAGATGGGAAAGATTATAAAACATAAAATTGCTGAGCACTGTTTGTAAGGGAAGATAGAAGATTACACTGCCGCCACATGACTTAAAAAAGCAATGTCAACAGTCGGCAGTGGGAGCTGCAAAAAATTAATAAAATAAAGCAGTAGGCTTGCTGAGTCATCATTGTTCAGAGAGCTAAGTAGACTACAAGTACAGACGGATGAAAAAAATAGCAGGAAGCGGGATCATAAAGCTTTTACTGCATATGCTGTTCGGCAGAGAAAAAAAAACACATCCATCCATTATGAGAAAGCTGCTTATCCCAGTTAGGACCACAGGAAACTGGAGCCTGTCATAGAAGCATAGGACACAAGTTGGGGCTGGGTCCTTTAAGAAAGGAATGATATTAAAAGAGCTAATCCAACCTAACAAGCATGTTTTTTGGATCTATGAAGAAATAAAAGCAATAATCCTTTCAAATCTAGGTGAGCATAAAGACTTCATGCAGCTGAAGGCCAGAATTGAACACAGGAACTGTGAGGCAGTAGCACTAGTTACTGTAAGTCACATGAAATTCAAATAAACTACTGTATGCCAATAATAACTGGGCATGCCTTGAGTCCTCAGAGAAGACAATTAAATTGTGATATTTGTAAAGCAATCTGAAGCCAACACTGCAGTGTAATTAAAAAAATTAAAAACAAATTTTCAAAAGGTTATGCTACTTTCAAACCCTGCTGACTACCTACACAAAAAAGATAGAAAACATCTACAGTGGAGCTAAAATAGCATTTCATTTATCAAATCCATGAAGATGATAAGATGATAATAAGATCATACTCTAGCAAGGCATATTGTGCAGTGTGAATGGTACCTTTTGGCAACAAGAGTCGGTTCAGTCATTCCAGTGGTTCAAAGGGCAAGACCAGATGGTGGAAGAAGCAGTCCAGTTTGTGTACTGTAAAAATCACTAACCATGAGTCACTACAACAAAGCAGTTACTGCTGGCAACCCCTACTGACACAGGTTCTACAGTGAGCAGTTAATAAGGTTGCAGCGCTTAATGGAGCACACACTTTAAATAAGTTTTCTCGCATCTGATTGCTGTCAGGAGTGGCTATGATTGTTCCAAGACACGTGTAACTGAGCAGCATGATTAGGATAATATTCAACCTTAATTATACAGAGTTGTGCTCCAGCACACCTGTGTGTGCTTAAATACTACTACCATCAAAAAGGGCATTAGCGCATACATCGCAGTAATTATAACAAAAATGTGTTTAATCAAGCAAGGATTCTTCACAGGTCACTAAATTCTGTACAACTACTAACTTATCAGGCTTGTGATTTTTTTTTGTGTGTTCCTAGCCCAAGGGGAACAACATAGCACAGTGCCTCATGACTGAAGTGTTGCAGGTTCAAGTCTCTGCTACAGAGACTGTTGTACCTTGAGGGAGGTATTGTACCCCAGTTGCTCTAATCCACCCACTTGTACAAGTGGGGCACCAGCATTGCTGGGGGGCTGTTCACTAAAATGGACCAGTGTCCCATCCAGGGGGGGAGTCTCAAAGCTCTCTAGTCTTAACTCTACACAGACCAGGAGCCATGAGCTCTGGCTCAATGAACCACTGTGGCTTTGGAGTGAACTTTTCTTTTTTCGTTCTGAGACATTGATGTCACAGTCCCAGAAGAGAGCAAATCCCATAATGGAAATCAGATCGCATAATACACCTCATTTTGTACCTTCGCTTGCCATTTTTGTGATTGGCAGATTTACCTGTTTCAAAGACCCTGCTACACTGCAGATCTGATTTACACATCACCACCGTCAAGTATTAGATCTTCATGAGAGTATTTCATGGTCATTAAAACATTAGAAGCTAAACTTCACCATTGCAATCTGAGTCTCCAGTTGAGCTAATGGACGGGCACATTTCTTTTGTTTGCTCACTATTATTACACCCAGACGTGTTCCTATTTGTTGTTTATTATTGTGCTGGATATTGCACAAAATGGTGGAACAAAGTATTGGCTTTTCTAGCAGAAGACATTTTATTAAAATGTTTATTCAACCTGTCCTTTTACCTCCTTAAATCTATGGCACAACTGCAATGCATCAAGACTCCTGTAGAGTAAATTTCATTTTAATAATCACCTACTGTATGTACTCCCATCTAACAAACTTCAGTCTTTCAAATTTCAGAAGCATATTTCCTAAAACCAAATTAATTTGAGGCAATATATGGCTGGGAATTAAAAAAAAAAACCCAAACACGTTTAAATCCAAGATATCTCATTAAATTGGATAATCCACCCCGAGTCTAACTTAGCATACAAGTAACAGTTCTGAAAGCAAGCCTGAACCAAACGAATTTCAAAAGGAGTGTGTTGCTTAAGAAATTGAAGTGTAAAAACTCAAAATAGATCAAATTCAACTGCAGATAAGTCCACTGTGATAAGTCAATCTGCTTATGTACAGTACAACTGTCTTCCTGTCATTTCTCTAATCTCAGTCAAAGAACAAAAACCAATTACCTGTAGGTCACTCACAGGAACCTTGATCTGCTCCTGCAGTTCAAGTGCACCATTCTACTTAACCAGTATTCACACACAAAGTTAGAGTTCCAGACATTTATTGTATATTTATATATTTTTGCTAGAATGTTCCTTTTTTAGGCTACTTGCAAAAGTCTACAGTGTGCAATGCAATGCATATTAGACCTGACCTACTTATTTTTCACAAGTGTAATTTGCATAAACTCAGTCGCAGTCTGATTTCCCTGTCCTGTAATGGTAACTAGGCAAAATACAGGCCTTTCACAGTATCTTTTAATGCTTTGACCTAAAAAATATCGCTTCAAAAAGATAAAAATGGAGCATGTAAAAGTGAAAGGATTTCAATATTTAAGGGGTTAGATCCTCTCACCATATTACATCTTGCATTGTTTCCAAAGGGCTGAAGATCCAAGAACAGTTTTCTGCATTTTTAGCTTATTGCTTTAGGTTTTTCTAAGGGCATACATTAACCGTTAATACTGTATTTAAAAAATACAAAACAGTAGAATGTAATGTGTTAATACAATTATATCAAATGTGATGAGAGAAAACACAATGTTTTGGCTGTGAAGCCTTCTTCAGGTAAAGAAGGCTTCACAGCCTGAAGAAGGCTTCACAGCTGAAATGTTGTGTTTTCTCTCTTCTCTTTTCAGCATGGAATAAACCTATTACTTGTTCCTTTGCAGACTATGCATGCTGACGCAGCTACCCACCTGAACTAAATGGATTATAGCGTGTTACTGCATATACAGTTCACCAGCCTTAGAATATAATCATTAGTACTTGTGATAGTAGTTCAGATGCTTGTAAGTCTCACCAACAAGCAAACCACATACTGTATAGAAGTGCCTCTTAAAAAAGGTTGAAAATAAAAACCTGACTAATGTATGGCACGGAGATTTGACAAAAATATTTTTTCAGTTAGGTTTTAATTTATAAGGCTTGGTAGCTTGCAATGAAAATCCAGAGAACTCTTACATGCCTGTGAAAAATGATAACTAGGTCTCTATATCTGAATGATTTTGGTCCACACTCCAGAGACATCTAAATTAATGTGTATGCATGTAAAGATTAGATATCTAATATTCTACAGGCATCTGCAGTCAGTTGTATTGGATACAATTACCCCACTCTCAAGACATGGATGGATAAAAACGTGAGACAAATTAAACAGTTGCAGATGTCCCCACCAACAACATTTTGAAGACAAACTGCTAAGATAGAGTGCTCTATAACAGCCAGCTGCAATCTTTACTAATTTTCCCTAAAACCCGAACAGGGATTAAACAGCAGCAATGGCCTGAGGTGCCTTTGCTACAGAATAATTGTCACTTATGATTCACAAAGGACATGACTCAAAAGACGAGCAGTTGCCAGAAGGGAAACCACTTCTGATAGCAGTTTCAAATCTTATGACCAATGAACCACTTCAAACTGTTTCCAAAATTAGAAATAAAAGACATATCAGCTATTTATCAAATCAAGCTCATTAATTAGTGGTTTCGTTTATAGCAATGACAACTAGATGGGCGTCACCACAGACGAGTTGTTACTAGGATTGCATGGCTAAATATGTGTTGTATTTTTTATATACAGGCCTACAAAAGAATTACCTTAAGACGTGACAT